GGGGGGTGGGTGGGGTGGGCGGTCTTCACAAAAAAATTTTTCCGGCCGTTTGGGCCTCAGTTTGGTCTAAAATTAAGGGGGGGCGGGGCCGGCCCCCGGGATCCGCCAATGCTGTTCGATAACAAAACGTCCTCCGTGAGTACATTAAGTAGCACGAACAACCACGACGACGGTAGCACGGCGGAGAAAACATCAAAAAAAGTTACTCTGAAAAAATGAATTTGCGTTATTTTAAACTTTATTGTGTCGCTCAATGGCCACTTCTGAGTTCTTAAACCTCTCATTTTCAAATCGAGGCTAAATGCAAAACCTTTCCTGTGAAAATGAGTTTTATGTACATGAGAGTAAAAATCCTTTTCATTTCAATAGCTTCGAACTCAGCCGCGATTTGACTGAACAGAGGCTTAGGGCATAAATGCGAATTTGCTGGGAGCTGTATATCAAAACCACATAGATCTTTGACTCTAGGTATGAAGAGTAAAAACATGAAACATAGAAAATGTAGTAGCTATGCATAAAACCAAAACAATGCAATATTAGCATACCTTGCTGTAAAGATATCTTGCGTAAATATAAACAATACAAAATTGGAAAATTCTTCTTGTTGTTACAAACTGTCACAGTTAAAATAGCGCTTTTTTATTATTTTTTTTTACACCAACTCACCTACAAGATTCAACACTAACATATGTTACAGTGTACATGTAGTTACCTAGGTTTGTAATGGGCTTTGTCTCCATCTTGTCCACCTCCACCGGTACTCTATGAAAAATTTTAATAACCTTTCACAAAATTAATTATTTAATTTTACTATTGTTTGTTGTCAAGTTACTTGTTTACAATAATAATTTTCAAGCAAAGTCAGTCTGCTCACGTTTGAATCATTTTCTTCTGAGGATCATAGCTGTATCTCTTAAACTCTAGGATTACTTTGACAGCTTTTGTAAGCTGCTCAACAGAATCGCCAGTAACTTCTGGACTAGCTGTAGCAGCCCCTTTATTTTTTCCACCTTTTTTCTTTCCACCAGAAGAAAGTTTAGGTATAGTGTCAGCAGACAAGCCACTGGGAATCCTGATCTTCACTTTGCCACTTTGACCAAAAGCTCCTTCGATCATTCCTTCCTCTCCTGTTGTCATTCTAATCTTCATTCCAACAAAAGTTTGGATATTTGTTTCCTTCTTGAAAAGAGAGTGAGCAATTACAGAGTACTCATCCGCCATCCTTTCAACAACACCTTCCCTTGTCTTGGTCTTGTAGACTTTTAACTGTGGCAAGAAGGTTTCTGTATAGTTCTTGTCCATTACAGGTACTAACAATTGACCATGAAATGCGATTCTACAGACGTTCAGGTGTATGTCAGTGTCAAGTCGTGACCCAATCACCAAAGAATGTTCTGGGCAGGTAACTGGTTTCTCAAACTCTATGAACAACCACTGTTGATTTGGAACAGGATTACTTTCAGTATCTTCACTTTCTTTATCAGCTGATTTGGCAGAATGACTTGATTGTTCCATGATTGCTTCTTGAAAAACATACTCTCTACTCATGTCAAAGGATTTGCTGTCTTGAGGAGGATCAACTGACTGGCTAGGAGGAAGGCCAAACACTTGAAGCTTACCCATCACTGTTTCATGACCAATGGTAATATGGAACTTAGATTTAGAGGTGATAGTTCCTTTATAGTAAGGGATATGTTTAACTGAGATAATGGCTGCAAAAATTGTTGGTATAGTCGATGGACTACAAACCAACCCTCTTTCCAACAGTTTTGGATCAAACTGAGTCACGCATATCCCAACCCTGTCACCCTGAGAAGCTTCTGTCACAGGGACTCTGAACATCTGCATTGACTTGACTTTCTTAGTGACCTTCATGGAGGGAATCTCTATTGTATCATTAACCTTAATGCTACCGCTGAGAATAGTTCCCGTCATTACAGTGCCCTGCCCGCGTATAGAGAAGCAGTGATCAACAGCATAGACCACAGGTCCTGATGGATCTCTGATTGGAAGGTATGACAATGATGAGAGTAAATCTATGAGCTTCTGAGTACCAACAGGCTCAGAGTCTGGACAATCAGGTCCTCCGGGCTTGGCTGATACTGCTAGAATGGGTGAACCAGCAAATTTCGTGTTTTCCAATGTCTTTGCCATTTTTTTGGTCATCTAAAAAGGTGCAAAGAAAATGTGAGACACTGAATCAGTTAAGTTTATATAAGTCTACCATTAAGTCAATCAATAATAACTACACAGAATAATCAAACTTAAAGCTTGAAGGATGCTTACAGAAATAAATTCACAATGGTGTGACACAAACATTATTTTCTTTTAATGCAGAAAGTCTAATTTTTAATAATTCAATATATTTAAACTACAAACATGGTTTAAATCTTTGCAAGGTTCTGTGAGGCACATATTTTTAGTTCCTCAAAAAACATCACTTGCCAGGGCTTGAAATTAAAAAAATCCTCAGGTCGCCTTTTGGCGACCAACTGGAGAAATATAGTCGCCAGTTGCAAATGTTTAGTTGCCAGTTTGAATAATGTTCATAGTCAAGGCTTTTGATATTTCACGCCATCACAGAGCCGCAAATTTCACAAAAACACGCAAAATACCCCGAAATTCAGTACAAATCTTATCAAATACATGTCTGTAGACCACATTTTAAACTTATCTCAGCTACAGGGGCTGTTTACTTGCCGTAAACTTGTAAATTTATCTTAAAACTTCGTCACTGAAACATGCAAACAATGTCCCGAAACTCCGAAACTACCAGGCGTAGATTATGTTGTGAAAAACTGGGCACTAGCCATGATGTTAAAGGCTTTGCCATTGGTTCAGTTCTGGAGCGTATTGTTGTTGAAAGAGCAAATGATGACCTCTGTTAGAAAAACATTAAAAATGCAGGTCTGGTCAGCGCAAAACCGATTGATCTCCAACGAAGTTTTCCCTGAAAATCAGTCGTTTTTGCCTATTGATTTTCGGCTGAGTTTGCCCCGAAAATTCCTGCGAAATCGGTCGATTTTTTGGCGAATTTGCCCCTAAAAATCCCGCAAAATTTGTCTCCTTTTCCGCGACCTATCAGAAGCCCTGCATAGTATGGTACGATCCATCAGATTTGAAAATATCGTGGATAGAAGTCGGTATAAATTTGGAGGTAAACTGGTTCTGTTTATCCGATTTGGCACACTTTTTTATGATGAAACAAAGCAGGATAAGATGAAATATTTGTTTTAACTCTACTCTTTTAATGTAAATCTAAATCATAGACTGATAGAGGAATCTGGTCGCCACTTTGGCGACTAAACTAGAATTTTTAGTCGCCAAGGAGAAAATGTTAGTCTTATTGGCGACCGTATCAGTCGCAATTTCGAGCCCTGCTTGCCTGTTGGGCAAGTTAAGAACAGAATTCACTAGCCCAAAAGCAAAATCCACTAGCCCTGGGCTATCGGACACTACTTTCTTTGCATGCTGCTTAAGTTTCTCCTGGTCAATTTTGAGAAAGTTTGTATTCATCTGTGAATGAGCCCCAGCAAAACTCAAATGCTTCTTCTAGAGAAGTATATATTCCATGAATATTGACTGTTTTGTCATAGATTGATCCAATTTACACTTGACCTTGGTGGCCTTTTGTCTATTGTCTGTCATTTATAAACACTATAGCTAAAACAATGTATTTACTATGTCCACCAATCAGAGCTCCTGACCAGATTGTGGACAGATTTTATGTCATCAGTACAGAATTCCGGTTGCTGAGTCACAGAGGTCTCTCCTGGCGAGGAGCGAGGAAATAGGAATGAAACCTTTTTACACAGTCATCAATCAATTAATTACCTTCTCAATTAAAGCATCCCTCTTTTCTTCTTTAAGTAAGTCGGTCTTGTTCAATACCACCACCATCTTCTCACACAGAATCTCTCCAATCACCAGACACTCAGCTGTTTGGGTCTGCATTCCCTTGGTGACATCCACCACCAGCATCATCATATCAATGATCTGAGCGCCTCCAATGATAGTCCGAATAAGAGACGCATGTCCTGGGCAATCCACCAGTGTAAACTGCAGGAGGTCATAGGGGTGTTGTTTCAAATGCTCTGGGAGGGGAACTTGGAATGAGGAGAAGCCCAGATCAAGGGTTATTCCACGCTCTTTACTCTGGGGGTTCTTGTCGAAAGAAGCTGTGGAAGCAGTCGAGCTCAAGGCTTTAGCAAGAGATGTTTTCCCACTGTCAATATGCCCAAGAACTCCGATATTAAAGTTCAAGACCTTCTTGTTCAAGGAAGTCGCCATCTTGAAAGGTCGAACATTAGAGAGGGGATTGGAACTAGCGCATGAGAAGTGAAGGCATTGCTCGAAGCATCAATCGAAGATGGAGAGTGTTCCGAAAGAGTTGAGAAATCTCCGAGCTTGTCTGGTTTGTTCTTTGGTCAAGGTAAGAAATTCTGACGTGATAGAGTACCGGAGATTTTACAGTATGTGAGGAACGAGTTTCTGTTATATAACTCAAGCTATTATCCACTTTTTTTATGTTCTTAACAGAAGGTTAAATGTAAAAATAATTTAATTTATGTTATATACAGACATTGCGTTCGCTTCAGAATCACTCTGTAAGCTTCTTTGTGAGCTTAATTTAACTCATCGTGCTAGCAGAGCCTCTCTTTTGCTCAAAGAGACTGAAGGAGGCTCTGCTCGCAGAGTGAGTTTTTAGTGAACTTATCTACATATACTTTGTCTTAAATTAAAAGTGTAAGCAAAAAAATTGTAATTCTTGGTTTGCAACCACGTGACAAGCCGGCCATGTTGGGGTTCAAAACAGTATATTTTTTCTCTTGAAGTATTTACGTGAAAATAGAGTTTAGTTCCCAGAGGAGAGAAACGTTTTAGTTCTTGACCACCAGCATGGCCGCCATCCAGACCTCTCGACCCCAAAAGACCAATAACCAGGAGACCAAGGTCCAAGAACCTGGAAATTTGGGAAGAAACTTGGAGATTTATCAACAGCGTCAAAAAGAACTAAGACCAGGTGTTCATCAAAATAAAAAATGGAAGCGGAACGACTCTGATTCTCTTTGTCCGATGAATGTTCGTCGATTTCCGCCATTTTGACAAAATGGATGAAACGAATCTAGATGCGACAAACTGGTTAGCGATAACCTTATTTGGCATTTGTCTTATAAATATGGCTGTGAGGTTCGTGTCTTGTCAACCAATCAATCAAATATGACAAATATGCCTTAGAACTTTGGATTTCTACAGAATTGGCACCAGGAAATCAATTGGACAAGACAAAAATGAAAATATTCAAGGACAGTGCATACCATCAGCTTGTGAATCTGTTTACAGTGAGATTTTTGTGCCTCATCGTGTAACTGTAAGATTCCCCTGAAAATCGTGTGTCTAACTGCAAAACCGAAGGTATTTAATGGTATGTAAGTATGTTATGTAAAATCCAACTTACAGTACCTTTTTCAGGCTGTTTTATTGCCAGCCACAGTAATTGAATCTGTTTTGTTTACAGACCCTTGAGCAGTTTGAATATGATGGTTGTGAAAATTGTGAGAAGTTCTTGAGACTAAAAAACAACAAAGAAAACATTCTAACTTGTACAAGTGCAAACTTTGATGGGTAAGTTATTGGTAATAATAAGATTTAATTTAAAAAGTTTGAACTGAGCTTATGGATGTTTTCATGTCAAGATGCCAACTGTCACATACATATGAAGCCTTGAGATTTTAGAGATACATTGTAGTGTACCCTGCTTACAGTGTTTGTAGTTGTCTCTTGTTTCCTCAGTTCCCTCTTCCCTCTTGAGACAAACACTGTCACTCACATGGCACCATTCTTTATCATGGTACACAGAGGCCTGGATACACCGTATTCCTTTAAATGATTTAATCCTTGAAACTCTTTGAATCTGGAGAAGCAAAGCTTGAATTTTATTATAAACAAGAATGAAAGCGTTAAAGTCTTGTTTGCTTGGAGATGGATGAGGAGGCGATTTTTCTACACAAAACAGGATTTCCTTGCAAAGGTTTTTCACTTCCTTGCCGATGATTGAGTCGTGTATAAATAAACGAAAATCTAGAGAAATTGCATGCAGGAGAGAAAATTAGTCCTCTGGGAGGACATGTGTTTACAATAGACTGTATGAAGGGCAATGACGGGTAACTATGGTGTGAAGGATAAACGTTTAACACTGTGTGCTATGAGGACAATTATTTTCCAGAGAGAAAATTTAAATTATTTAATAGTTTGTATCACTCAGGGTACCTTTTTTTTTCAACACGTTTGTTTGCCATGGGTTATCTAGAAATTGTATGTAATGAAACATCACGACAAGTGACAACGGACCGAATGTCCGTAAAAAAACCACATGCTTGCAAAACAAAATCGTTCTTCAAGGCAGTCACGTTGTGCAGTGACTGCTAAATTGCACATGCACAGTAACACGTAAGGTTGGTTTGGTGGCCACAGGCAGAGTTAAAACTTCTACAGAAATTCTGGAATTGAGTTAGGCCAGATTAATTTCTTTGCTATTTCTGTACATTTGTAATTGCTTTGTGTTGGGTGACTTCATTTAAGGGTGATTTTCCCTCTTCCCCTTGCTTGTCACCTTCCTCGCGGTGGCAATTTTCACATGTGCTTAGGTGATTTATCGCTCACTGTATACTATTCATGTGGAAAATGAGGGACGACTGGTAGTTAATTCACAGATAAGGGCGCAAAATATACATGTCCTCCTTAAATAATGTTTATTAATTTTGCTCCTCAAGGAGGGGTGTAAGGATAGAAGGCACAATAACCTATTCAACAATTAAATGGTTGTTCAAACATTGGATAGCACTATCCACTGGATAAATCACTATCCAGCGGATAAGTGTATGGAAAACCACTTATTGTGCTATCTACTGGATAGAGATTTATCTAGTGGATAGCGTTACCCACTTTTGAACAACTGGGGCCAGGAATTGGTTACCTTGTAGCCTGAGGTTTCATTAGGGTTAGGGTTAGAAAATTAATATAAACCACTTTTGTAGTCATTATTTCACTCTGATTCTTTGACGATCTCAACTAACTTCTTTCCTTATATTTATGAAATCACTCTCTTGCCCAGCAAATTATACGAGAGCCATGACTGTCACTAGGAAGAGGCATGTTACTGTTTTGAATTGTATTCTTTTTCTGGGCTTGCATAGACAATAGTGTTGAGCAACAGCTCACAGATAACAAATTTACTTACTTATAGCTTTTTTGACAGGATAATATCGCTTATGACTCCAAATGACAGTTGGGTGGCCAGGTGGCAGAGAATAGGTATGGATGTTTTATTTGTCATTGTTTTAGAATTTTATATAAAAACCTCTCCAATCTCATTCCCAGGGTCTTCTCTCTTCCTCCCTTGAGAAAGGACTCTTATTGTGGCTAGTCACTCAGCTCCCAAAATCTGGGAGCTGGGTGTTGTGGGAAAGTGCTTTAAAGCTAGAGATGATGGCTTCCTCAAGAGCGGAAGAGAGGGGACCCAGGAAAAAGGTTGAGGCCTCTCTCTCCCCACCTTACAGCATAGACCTTTAGTCCTTGCCTTATCACCTAGCAAACAGATGTACTACTAAGTACTTCATTTTTCATGTTCTTGCAGTGTGTGCTTCATTTGTTGTAATGTTTAAAAATCAGGACAAAATTTTCTAGCATTAGTATTTATCTTTCACAGACACATTAGCAAGAGGATGCTATGCCATATCTGTGAGCGGTAAACTTCCAGGGCATGTAGCACGGGATCTGAAAGCTAGAGGAGTAACTTACAAATCAAGAGACAGAACTAACCAATAATATAGTTGATGTAAATAAGCTTCTTCAAGTTTTTGTAGGATGTTTTCCTTGCAGTACCTTTGTAAATGTTCTGATAATGAAAGTATTACCAAACTTAATCAGTAACAGATGTCCACAATAAAACAGGAACAACAACAAAAACAACTTTTATTTTTATTTGAGTACAAAGTGTAATTTACAATATTATTGTATTTATTTTAGTAGACTTTTTCATTTGACTGTTATATTGAGTTCATTCTTCCACTGCCTCTTAAGTAATAAAAGCAAAAATCACTGGGCTCATAACATTGTCATTGCGGGTAAGTCTTTCTTTTTTTCTTATTAAATGCAATGAATAAATATTTTAAAATTCATTTTGCTGCAACCTGCTAACCAGTTAAGGTTAATTTGTGGTTCAGTCTTCTTTCAAGTTTGCAAGTTGTTCTTGCATGGCCACTTGTGACACTTCTATGAATGATGCAATGGTCTGAAGTTCTGTGTGCTTGACAGGCCTGACTGATACACAATAGAAATGTCCATTTCTTCTGTCCAGTGATCCCACGCACCTTACAAGCATAAAAATGGTCTTCATAAAGCATTTACAAGTGACTTAAGAAAAATTTTCACTGAAGCAGTGAGGAGTTTCATTGATTTAACTGTATGCTACAGAAGAAAATTCAGAGCTTTCCTTTGCAGGAACCTTCAGTCACAAACTCCCAAGGGGGACATCTGTACTTGCTGGCCACTAAATATTCTGTCCAGTGATGTCACTACTCCCTTAGTCATTCAAAATGTAAAACATTATTTTCAACAAGTAAACAAAGAAATAAAAAGAGGATAAGGTCTGCAGGGTACAGAGTTGGTTTACTTGTAACTCGTGCCATAACTCGTGTTGCTCAATGCAAGAACGTATACCATTCAACACTTTCTCCAATTTGCGTAAATTCAAAAGAGGCCATTTGGTTATTAACAAAGGTTGCAAGCAAAGGAAGAAAAACTTATAAAATCATTACACCAGACAGAAATGACAGGAAGATCAAAAATTATTGCTGGCTTGACACAAGCTTGTTAATCTCACAGAAATCTATTGCCGAGGTTTATGCTGCTGAAACCACAAAATGACCTTAACTGAAATAAATGACTAGAGGCAAGAACTGGATAAGTTCATTTTCCTGTCTGGGATGTCAAAATTTTGAATTCCATGCAAGGATTTGATCTGCTTTATATCAAATGACAGTCAAGCCACTAAAATTTGATAGATAGTGATAATGTCACTAAACAGCTTTGGTGGTTAGTGGCTTTAAACCCTGTTCTACCCCTCCTTTCAGACTCCTATAGATAATAATTGACAATTATTGGAAGAGGTTGAGCAAAATATCGTGATTTTTCAGTGTTATTATTTGCCGAAGCCGAAGGCTGAGGCAAAGAATTGATTGATCTGTGAGACACTAGCAAATCACGATATTTGCGATAACCGAGTTCAATAATTGTTTTATCGTGTGATTACCTAGTTTGTTTTTTTTAATGAATATCTGTGGGAAGCGAAGTGATCTGCCATTTTCACGCAAGAGTGATTGCAAGAAGGAGAAAAGTGTGGTTTCATTTACACATGAGCAGAATATTATTTGCAGCCAAACAAAGTTGGATGACATTGTGCATGAGCAGACCATTATTTGTAGGCAGTTATTTGCAGGTCATGTGGTGGGCTCTTGGCCAATGAAAAGAGAGAAAAATTAGAAACTAATGATAATAAAATTTATTGTACCTGTGCATTTGTCCTCTTGTTAACCTTGGAAGTTGACGGTCCTTGATCGTTAAGAAGATAAATGGTTTAGATGAAACATATTAAAAGTAAAATTTACGTTTGTGAAAGGATAAACTCACCATTTCCCAAAAAGTGCACCTAAAAGAAAAGAAGAAAGTGACTGTGTTAATTTTAATTTTTTTTATTAAAAAATAATGGTAATTGTTGGAAATTGTAAGATACCTCAGAGTTCCTGTTTTGTCTTTTATGACAAAATTCTTTGTATTGCCAGTAGAATTTAATGACACTTGTGAGTCCAGTGTTCCTAAGAGGAGCAATAACATTTCTTTTGGACATGATGGTATAAGGTAGTAGTATTAAAAAACAGATGTGTCAAGTCTTAACTGCTGTTACATTTTGTATGAACTTGACGGAGATCTGCTGCAAGTAGCATAGGGGATTCAAGGATTACAGCTTGAACCCTCATTTGTGTGAGAACACCTTGTATCTGCTTACCAAATATTTCATAAATTACAGCAATCTTGTCATCAAATGTATTCCAATCTAGAACATTCTGAATAGTGGCTGTTATGACTCTAAGAGTCTTGTCCACTGGAGTGGCCATGAGGTTTACTTGCTTGGTTGACCTTTCCTATTTATTCAAATGAGGAAAATAAATAGATCCACTCTTATTACCTTCATTTAGAGGTGGTCCTTCCCCACCAAGAAAACCAAATGCATTGGATCCTTAGGTTTTCATTTAGACTGAAACGTTTTGAATACCAGGGGCAGATCCAAGAATTTTTAAGAAGGGAGTTCATGTTATCTTTTAAAAGTGACAAAAATATCTGGACCCTAGACATGGTATCCCCTGGGCCAGGTTGTTCAGATAACCCAGGGTCAGTGTGAGATTTGAATTCCGAGTGAAAGCTCAAATAGTAAATTCAGGTTAGTTCGTTTTGGCTTCAATTTAATGATGGAGTGGTCTAATAAGAACAGAGAAAATGCACTAATTGGCCTTTAAACAACTGGGCCTAGGTGTTTAAAATTCCATGTTGAAACTGAAGAACTAGTTATTTTTAAATGTTACTGATAATAACAAAAATCCTCTTGTCCAGATTCCCTCCCCCTTTCATCCACCCTGGATCCTGGATCTGCTACGGGGCTGATTACTGTTTTACTTCGGACAATGATAGAGGATGTACCAATAATTGTTTAGGGTAGCAAGTAACTTTACACTTCAGGTCCACCATAAAATAATTAAAAACAACCGAACATTCCAAATGCACAACATTGGATGGCTATTTTTTCCAGACAATGGGTAGGAGATGAGAGGGTCAGGTGGCAAAACGAGATTTTCCAAAGGGTTACCTTGCTGTCCTGTGAAGTATACTTCATTCTTTGCAAGGATAATAATATATAAATTTGTGAATTACCTTTGTGGGTTGGTTCTGATCCTTCTGAAATGTTTCTGAAGACAATGCACTGCCTCCACGCCTGTTTTCACCTTTATTGTCTTGTTCTGTTTTTACCACGGGATTTCTAATAACTGTACTTCTTTCAGCATCGTACTGAGAGGGTCTGATAGAAAACAACAACAATTTTATATTTCTATAAAAATGAAAACTTAAGCTTCGGTAAAACAGAAGACAAAAACGTGCAACTTGTTTTGCTATATTGCTGCAAAAAAAGTTGAAAAGCGATGGTGCGCGCTTGACCACTCACACGTTCAAACCTGTTAACAAGTTAATTTTTTGCAAGACAGGTTTGATGTGGTTGGTAAAACGCGCACCATCGCTTTTCAACTTTTTTGCAGCAATATGGCTAAACAAGTCGTTTCGCAGCAATGTTGCAGGACAAGTTGCAGGTTTTTTGACATATTTTTGTTATCCGTTTTGTCTAAAACCAAATTATTTTACAGAAAGATAGCTAGATTATATTCCTCTTGGTAAGCCAGCAAAAGTATTGAGACAAAGTTGACAAACATACCTGGGCCCGTTGACCTTCAAATTAAGCTTACTGTTAGCTCGTGGTGGTGGAAGCTGATATTCTTGTTGCACTGGCATGTGACTTTGTAATTCGCCTCGGCCATTGACCGCTTGGCTTCTTTGATGAGTTGAGGAGTTGGCACTGTACTGTTGTGGCACTGCGCTGTTGTACCATCCCTCATTTGTAAGAGAATTCGTTCTTGTATTTGGAGGTAAACTTGGTTTCTGAAGACCACCCTCAAAGTATTCACTTCCAGAGTGACTGAATTCATCACAAGCCGGGTTGGTTGAGGTGTTATCGAAGTCGTCTGTTGATGGGTTTGCGTACAGTGCTTGCTTTAGCCTTTTCTTTTTATTGTTAGCGAATATTGGCACCAATCGCCCTACAAAGGAGACCGATTGTTTAATTATTAAAAAATTATACATTTGAAAAATAGTAAGCTAAGCCTTAAACTAGAGTATGCTGTGTTTAAAGGTAAAGTTTAATAAGTTTAATTTAAAGAACACAACTTACCAGTTAGGCTGCTGTTGAGACGCTTGTTCATTCCTTTTTGTACTTAAAGGTTAGCAATTGGTAAAATGTTGTTCAAGAGAAAACTTCGACTTGAGCAAAATAATGGCTACTATTTTCGTTTCAAAATACTTTATCGGCGTAAAATGCAATGAAACAATATTTTTCTGTCTGGACAACAATGAAAACCCAACCTGACGTTTCTGGTAAGCGACGAATTTGGCGCCCTTTTCTGGGCGGGGCGCCGCCCGGACGTGCGATTTCCCGCGAACTTATATTTGTACCCAGATCGCCTCGAGTAGATACTGGTCATGAAGACTGGGTCATGAAGCAAAGTCATGAAGTAAACAAATTTTCTCTCAGGTCATTTATTACCGCCTCAGATTGCATAAATTATGTTTGGAAATATTGTTTTAAGTTATATTTTAGTTTATCTACCTTTACTTTTACTCTAAAAACTGCGTCTCTCGAGCAGTAAACCAGCGGGGAAAAGAAGGGAAACAAACACACATTTAAAAGACCATTTAAAAGGACCTGCTTACGCACGAGCAGCTAGCACTGAAGAAACTCTGAGGAACTGTAGAGCTGAGTTTCTAAGAAATCTTGATGTCTGTTAAAAATTTTCAGACAGTTTACCTATTAATCATAGATTGTCTGATCTATCACATTTTGAAGCCAGAATAATTGTTTCGCCGCCGGATTGATTTATGATAGTCAGGGATACACTGCAATAAAAAATCCGCGAGATAACGAAACTGGACATCGGGGGTATTTGATATTAACTCTTGTTGCGATTGTGGGAAGGTCACATAAAGTCGAAAGTAACTAAAATCTAGAGATGTTAATTCGTTGGCCATAAGGATACATTAGTGAGGTGTAACGCTTCTACTTTCTCAGACAATAAAAGTGTGTCAACATTCGTATATAACTCAGTATTTCCTTAACTTAATGTTCGTAAATCTCAAGATTTCACATAATAGATGGATATCGATTCCTAAAATCACGGAGGCCTCAATATTTTTTGGCAAATGAATTACGTTTGAATAATTGAAATTGTTTATAGAAGGAAATTGCGATTGCAGCCAAAACATAACACGAAAGTGGTAATTTTATGTTGCAGAAAATTGGTAAATAAGAAAAAAAGTAATTAACTCTAGCTACTGATCTAGAAAAAACTCTTCGTTTGACTCAGTGCAAGACTTCACTGATATAACAACACTACCGACCTACAAGTAAGTTTTAAAAAAAACTTACTTGTAAAATTCACATCTTATATCACTGAAGACAATTTACAAAAAAAATTGTTAACAAAAATTTAGACAGCTGCAGCTATATTTAATTTTAATAGTTTCGGAAATTACTGCAAAAAGTAATTATTCCCTCCTTTTCCAAACTGAGGACAAACTCTGGTTGAATGTTTCGACGAAAGTACATTATTGCTTTCCTAGCCAGATAAACAGTAACAAATGAAATTGTCCGGAAAAGAATGCGACGATAAGATTTTTTCATGTAATGTTAATGAAAGTAAGGCACGAAGCATGTTTTTATTTGATTTCATTTAATATTTCTAGGTTGTCGCTTGTTGTTTAGAAAGTTTAGTTGATAAAACAGAGAAAAAGAACGCTGTCCGACATCCATGCCATAAACTGAATTAAACCGATTTTCAGCCGATGAGAAACGATCTTTACTGATTTACTGTAGGTTCGAGTTAAACTTTCATCCAAAAGGTGCGTGTAATCTAGCGTGACTGAGGCCGAATGTTCTAAAATACACAGAAAAAGACACAGCGAAAAACGTCCTCTTCTTTCAGTAAAGGAAAGAATACGTGTTCGGTTGTTAAGCACGCGATCTCGTCAAAAAGAATTAATATACGCTCTTTTTCTATGAAAACTCGACAAACCGCGGCTGACGCAGATTGGCATACCACCAACGGCGCAAGGACTATTTATCAGCCGTTAATTGTTTTTCAAATGATGAGACGAAACCTTAAAACCATTTTCTTCGCAGCAGGGAATTCAATTAAGACATTGGTGGTAGCCGTATTTATAAAGTGACAAACCTGTCGGAGTATGCTTGAAAATCAGGACAACTTGCCACTAGTTTGACATTTCCTCTTCAGCAGGTGGGTGCATAACCCAAGTGACATATTGTTGGGCTGAAGGAAAATATAACCTTATCAGATATCTCCGTGGACACACGCCCACAGATGACTTTTGCAACATGAGGATCCGACGAGGAGATATCATTTGAACTGCTGAGCGGAATGATCGAGAATGAGTCGGCCTTCTGAGGGAACCTTAAGGTCATCTTGTCGAGGCGATTCGGAATTTCTAAGCTGAAATCTGACGTGAACTGCTTTCGAATCTTGACAGCCGCCAATGAAGAGAAAGTGGAAGACAAGCGAGCTGGGCTGTACATAATTCGCAGACATTTAACTTCAGTTAATAAAACAGAGGACAAAAGGCGTAAAATTGACATTAACACAGGCCACTCTTACGGACCTACGAGGAGGAAAGACTACTGTAGAACGCTCCAACTCTGTTGACTCAGTATGGCTGTAAATGGAAGTGAATTAAATACATCAACCCATCTGGATCATCTTCGATCGTTGTATATGAAGTTTGAACTGGCAGAGGGCATTTGCCTTTCGATATTATCTGTTTTAACGGTTTCTGCCAACATCTTGCTGTTAATGACCATATGGAAAGACCCAGAGAAAAATTTTCGATCGCCTACAATCTATTTCATAATTGGTCTTGGAATAGCTGACCTCGTGACGGGTGCAACAACAGAACCCTTTTTCGCGCTCTTTTACATCACGCGTTTCTTTCGTGGAAGCCAAAGTGTTCCTGGACCAGTTTCTCGCCTGTACAACGTGGGAGTTCCCATTTCAACTGTAACCATAAGCTCGTCATATTTGATAATCTTGTTCTTGTCCTTGTCGCAATACATTGCCATTAAGTGGCCTCATAAGTACAAACTTTTGGTAACAAGAAACCGCGTTATCGGGAGCGTCTTACTCAGCTGGCTCTACTTCATCTGTTTCACGCTGGTGTTGCAATTCTCAAGAATCGATACAACTCTATTCCTGAAAGTAGACTTGGCGATACATCCCGTTTTAATTTCGTCCGTTTTATTTCTAACTCTTATTTTACTTTACAGGGCATTTAAAGGACAGGTACAGCAAAAAGGCTCGAATAAACCTTTTTCAGAGTTAAAAAAAGGAACAAAAGAAAGGGCGCATAATCTCCAGCGACAGTTTACAATCGTAACGTTTTATTTGGCTGCCATTTTGTTGATCTCAGCGCTTCCACACATTGCAATTCAGTTCGTTTGGCTTTACTCGAACCTCTCCCTGGAAGGAACCTATCACATTTTTATGGCTTTGAGAGTAAGAGATTTACTGCTCTTTTTCAAAGTGGCACTCGATGCTTTTATTTATGCATGGCGATTGCCAGCTTACAGGCAGTCGCTGAAGAAATCGGTGAATTATTCAAACAAAACGAAATCTACGAAATCATCACTAGTAGAGGGGACACAGCTATAAGAGTGTTAAAGTGAACATATGTCACTGTGAAAGAGCATGGCGGAAATGCTCTTTTTCATAGAGCGCTTGTTAAAGAGCTCTCTGTGTAAACTAATAAATTGAACCGGAAAGCCAGATCTTGCTTAAGACAGCTTTGGAGACCTTAATAAAAAAGAAAACACTGTTTACTCAGTATGTTGCCATTAAAAAAAAAAACGTTAAGAACAGTCACGTCGTTAACTGGAGAGGACAAACCTATGGAATAAGAATTTGCCGCTCATTTGCATCAGTTACATCGGTATGGTTAACGACCTCTTCCTATGTAATCAGCGCGGAGCCTAAAAAAATTACTTGAAATTTTTAAATGAAAGTCAGCTCAACAACAAACGAGGCGACAAATAGAAAGGTTTTCACTTAGTGTGCCAAAAACCAAATTAATCACTTTGGTTTAAGATAGAATATGCTTTGACCCATATTAAAAAAAGACGGACCTTTAATTCTCGTTCTTATCATTAAAGACTCGAGGTGAACGTATCGACGCCTTGGTACATTTTGCTGCTGTAGGCAGGCGAGATTAAAGCCGCGACAAACGACGGAAAAAAACAAATGAGTCTGTAACGGTAAAAATTTCCATTTTATTTATTTTTTACCCGCACATGTCTTCCTTTCCGCAGCATTTCGAGCGACTTATTATAATACAACCTATCTTTTAAAACTTTACTGTCTTTTCTATTTGGGTCCCATCCTGAGTTTTTTCTGTTGCCGACAGAGAGTCAACAAGAAAAGGAAATTCAATTTCCCGTTCAAGCGATCTTATAGTCATGTCAACTCTTGTCTTCCTTAGGCGGTCTGAATGTAAGGCTCTCCTCAATAAACCTCTGTTATTTATAAAATCTGTCAAAGACATAAAAAGGTACATAAATGTTCCGTACTTTCAACTATTTGCGACACCTTGTATAGAAGGGGGAAAGGCGTTCCTACTTCTGCTAGAAGAGAAAAGACCGTTTCCTTCTTCTGTCTAGAAGGAAAAAGGGCGTTTCTCCCTTTTGTCTACAACAGAGAAAAAGTCGATTCCCCTTTCAGTTTAGAAGGTAAAAGGGCGTTTCCCTCTTCCGTCTAGAGAAGGAAAATCGATTCCCCCTTCTGTGTCGAAGGTGACGGGCGTTTTCTTCTTCTGTCTAGAAGGCAAAAGAACGTTCCCCTTTTTTTTGGAACAAAGGAAAAGTCGATTCCCGTTTCTGTTAAGAAGGTAAAAGGGCGTTTTCCTCTTCCGTCTAGAGGAAGAAAATCGATCCCCCTTCTGTGTAGAATGTGAAGGGCGTTTTCTTCTGTCTAGAAGAGAAAAGGGCGTTTCCTTTTTCTGTCTAAAAGGAAAAAGGGCGGTTCCCTAGGAGCCTGTTCACAGGTTAACCTTTGCCATGTAGCCTGTTCTCCTCGTAACCCAAAATAAAGGGGTACGCTGAAATGTAGCCATCCCGTTGACGTGGAACAAATAAATACGACTTTTTTTCTAGGTCCCAACGAAATAAGGAGAAAAAGTGCACAGTGGGAGATAAAGACAAAAATGGTTATTACTATGCTCCTGACAATATGAACACTTCCTGATAACGTTTTGGACGCCTTCGCCTGACCAGTGAAATATCCGGTCATTCATTTTCACTTGAGTTTTAAATAGTTCGTTATTCGAATCCAATCATTTTAATGTTTTGCGCGCCTCTTCCCTTTCACGTGTTCCCTTTAGCCTTATAATTTCCGCGAGGCTAAGGCTATACAAAACTATACAAAGCTATACAAACACGGGGCAACCAAACTGGCCGCAATAAAAAGATCCCGCGAAAGCTTACGTTCCCGGGGGGACTCCCATATAAAAGTGACGGGGATGCTCATGGGAAAATTCAAATAAAACCCCTGAGGGAGACCAACGTAGGTGTGGCTCAAGCTTAAATTGACCCTTAAGGGAGATTTATGTGTGGCCAGTGTCAGGGCATTTTTTGTAAATTCCTTTAAGCACAGTACTAAGCGATACCTGAATGGGTCAATAGAGCGGTTTTCATTTGAGTGTCGAAAAGTAATTGGTTTTGCACTTTCTACACGATGCGATTGGCTTAAAAGATTCGCGCCACCTTTTCATCCAATCAGAAGTAAAACCAAAGCCAATTGTGACGCGCTCGCATGCATTTTCCCGCGCTTTGCGTCAGCCACATGTAATTACTTCGAGTTTTGATTGGTTCAATGTATTGTCTGTGTCCTATGTGATTGGCCAGAGTAATTATTTTGGTTTTGGTTTTACGACACTCAAACGAAAAGCACTCTATAGCGACTTTCCATCCCAAACACCCTAAGTGAGAGCAAAATCTGAAGCGAGACGACGAGCATCCCTGTCACTTTTATATGGGAGCCCCCCCGGTCTTACGTTTTGAGTGCTAGACCATCGTTAAAACGGAGGCTAGAATGGTCAGCTTTTTTAAAACTAACTAAATAAATACAAATAAATAGCGATTTGCAGGTAGCACATCCACATAGTGGTTCTTCGTCTACCTGATTCCTGGTCGAATTGGAATTTGGAAATGTTGGTTTTTGAGGAGAGGGGAAAACTGGAGTACCCGGAGAATAACCTCTCGGAGCAAGGGAGAGAACCAACAACAAACTCAACCCACATATGGCGTCGACGCCGGGATTTGAACCCGAGCCACATTGGTGGGAGGCGAGTGCTCTCAACACTGCGCCACCCTTGCTCCCTAAAAAACCCGTTTATGGTGGCATTTTCACTGTATCCACTAAGTTATTAAGCCGAATTTTTCCGTTGCATTCCCCACTGACGCAAAACGACAGTTTTTTAAAAATAAATAAAACAGAAAGAAGTAAAATCAAAGAACACTAACCCGAGGCTTCCAACTACAAATGCCAGGCACAACTCACCTCTGTAACAACTCCAGCAGCGATTGTTTCACCACCGTAGCGCAGCATAAATCTTCCAAGATCTTTATAGTCTTTATACAATTCAACGCAAACTGGTTTGAATGTGTGAATTACTACCTCCGCATTGGAATTTTTCGTTAAACACCTGTGTATCGAGGAATGTAAAGATGTTAGTAAATTTTTAGAATTGCCGAAAATAAGAAAGACCCATCGGAAATCTCCCAGAGTTTAATTTCAACAGTCAAACCAAAGAATTTCATCCACAGACTCAAAAGTCATACTAAACAAAAAGTACAAGAAGGGACGGAACTGCATAAGAGGTTTCATTTGAATAGTAACCATGGGATTTCGTCTACAAACTCAAAAGGTAGGACGACATCACTAAATGGACCAAAATTCAATGCGGGAGTAAAGGGGTTAAATCCCGAGTCTAAAAGCCGCCAAGCCTGCGAGCACTCCTTCGGGGACCGGGGTTGGGAGGGAGGGAGTTTTCTACCAAGCCCCACCCAGCCCCGCATCCCCCTGCCCCCGCAGGGTAAAATCCGCCTAAATTTGCTTCGAAACCGTCAATGCTTGAAGGTGAAAGAATGAAAATTGTTACCTGGGTTTCTTTTGAAGAACTTCTCCTGTGCTCTTGTGTAAGACACTACAGAGCCTGTGGATAGTGGCTGGTTCATTTAACGTCTTGTAGTGGAACAATACCTGCAAACAAAACAGTAAAAAAAAATTATTTACCATTTCCACACTGTCCATAACACACCATGGAAAACACCTCACATTATTTAATTCAATTTTTTGGTTCCAGTTTGTATAATTTTTATGCTGTTACCTCCTCAAGTGCAACCTTCTTCAGGATGGCCGATTCTCAAATGGCAGTTACATCAGGGAGCTGTTTCTCTTAACGATTTCAAGAGGTCATAGTTTTTTATGAAATTATTTAACACATACATACATACATATATACATATCCTTTATTTAAACACGATATGGTTTAAAGCTCAAAGCTTGTGGGGTCGTGCAATGTATATGTAAGTGGAATATGAGTTTGAGTGTAGTCCTTAATAGGACTGTTGTTGACACTGACTGACGTTTCGACAACCTGTGTGGTAGTCACCTTTGACTCACTTTCACTTTGAAGATGACCACCGCACAGGTTGTGGAAACGTCAGTCAATGTCAACAACTGTCCTTTTCTGGACTACGTTCAACTGGACGATCATGCTCCACTTACTTATGAGTGACTCCTGGGTTCAAACCATGCATTGTCAATGTACCTGGTAAAAGAAAACTCACCATAAAGCCTTTTGTAATAGGAACACGAATGTTGAAAACTAAAATGCGAGCCTTCAGTTTCATTGTGCATTTTATTGGGGAGCTCGGAGGACATAAAACACTTCCCACTCTGAAAAATAAAAACCACAACAAAATAGAATTAAGCTTCGCCATTGTGAAGCCTAAAAACGTGTCATAAAGCTTCATTAATTAGGTGTGAGTTTTAAGGAAGCTGTCAAGTTAACTGTAAAAGTTTCGAACGGAAGCGTAGAAAACGAAAGAACGAAAAGCAGAATTTGATTTATATATGTTTTCAGTTTATCCATCAAAAAAGTAACCATGCGACGAAAAAAAAAAAAGAGTAGAAAATGTGACGGGGAAACACAGTTAGGCTTCGCTTCTACGGGGGAATCCTATTATCTGGAATTCTCGAATCTTAAAATGCTTTCTGTACTTCTTGATTCCGAAAATGATGATCTTCAAACTAAATTTCAACTAAGTCTGTCTGAATCATGGTGAACTTTTTCGGATTCGTAATTTTCAGCGCTTGTTAGGGGTGGGGGGGGGGGATTGGAGAAACGAACCTTTTACGAAAAACAAAAACAACAACAACAAAAAAAAAACTGCTCGACGTGGGCGCACAAAGCTTTGAAGTTCTGGAGTGGTACAGTTACTATGGAAAAAAGTCTGTTTTAGATTCTATGATTTACCATAAAACCGGGGTTGCTTACCATTTACTTAGACCACCCGGGTGGACATCTTGAGCATAAATCGGTAAAACTATAAAATTGGACGTGGTTGGAGAACAATCCGCTGGCAAAGTATATCCACATAAACTGAACAGACTAAAAAGGAGTGGAAAATTGCATTGCCTAAAAAAGCCTCTTCATTCTGAAGCCTCCTAAAGATAATGGCGCGAACCATTTGATTTTCCATGCGGAATTTCCGGTCTCTCAGGTAAATGGTAAGTACCCCGGATCTTATCAACCAGACACTTACCCAACATGCATCATGTCTAATCCAGATAACGTCAGTGTCACGTGATCCCCTGCACATGCTAACTGAACTGGCTCGTCATGTATGGACAGGGCTGGTGTTTAAAAGTAAACACACAAAGATAAACATTATTTGAAATTGGCAGATGGACAAAACGTCATGCATATTTAAAGAATTTATGAAAAACAAAATACTTATAATTGGTTTCTGTCTCTCTAAAATAACTTGTTTAAAATTAGCTAGACACAAGACTTTTTAGTTGCAGATAAAGATTTTGGAAAAGACGAGATTTCATTGACAAATTAACTGACTGAAAGAGTAAAATATGACGTGTGCAGAGACAAACAATGAGTGTACACCTTGTTGTATTCAATAATTTAGCAGCAGGTTCACAATTATCGGGGATTTTCTCAGCAAAACACTCAGTAATTAGCAGGATTATTTAACATGAGTTTCTTTACCAACATAAGCCATTCATCCGACTGGGACCACAGTAACTTGTAGAGGATTTCTAGTTGCGTAGTAACAAAGTTCAGCTAGTTTTAGATTTTTCCCAAACTTTTATAAGACTGGAAAATAAATACTGTAGCTATTTCACTTGATCACATCCAGATCTTGCTGCCAGCACTTGAATAACAAGAACTTTAATAGCTCAGAGCAAGTTGTGGTAACAAACAGAAAACCATCCAAGGGTAAGTCTATTTCTTTAAAAGTAGTAAAATTGATGTTTCGTTTTTTCATCAGAAAACTGGATCAGTATGTTTATCTTAAATATTGAAAGTTCGTAGATATTTTAATTGGGATTTTTTAAGGCACTTATGAACAACTATTCTCGGCTGTATCGAGAGAAAAACACACTATACTGTCTTGGCTGCATGTTATTCGTTTAAGCAGTTTACCAGAAAACTAAAAAAATAATAATAAACCCGATATTTTTTCAAATTTTCTCTGCCCTGTGAGGATCATGATTGCCGTTTGTGAGTGGCAATTGCATTTAATATCAAATACAACACTCAGTACCCTATTAACAATAACTAGTATAATTTATGGACGAAAACTGCGCTTGCTTTGCTTTCTACTTCGCAAATATTTTTGAAACAATGAACGATACTTTCGATTCTTAAGTATCAAACAAATTAACAGTATTTCTAAACCAACAGTTTTGATATGTGATACCGCAAAATCGTGAAAAATGGTGTTCTGGAAAATATAAGGTATATTAAATTTAAGTAACCAACACCCAGGTCACTTAGCAGTGGTCGTATCTCCTATTAAGTGAGTAACCTTCTTAGTCTGTCCCGTTTCTGCTCGATTGGTTTAAACTAGAGCGCGATGGTGGGTTAAAACAACTAAAATTCGTTTGCAGAATGGTCAATGTGGATCTTGAGTAGGACTTGACATCTTACGTCTGTTCTTCTATGTTTCGAGAGTTCCTACTACAGTGGAAAACCTACATACAAGCACCTTGTGGATTAAAAAAGCTGACGGCACACCACTTGCCAACAAAGAGACATTATACCGTAAAAACTCTCAAGCGCATCAAAATTTTTGATTCTGCAGGCTACGAGGATGTGCTCCATTCATCAAGCGATAACTCGACGGAATTCTCGACAAGTGCACCTTCTCGCAAAAGTGGGATGCAACGTAAATAGATTTGATTCTTGCATGCATACACCAATGCGCCTGGTTTGTGACCTGGATAACGAGCCTTTGGGGCTATCCCTGGGGCGCCTTTTGCTTCACCACGGCGCCAGGGTCCACCAGAAGGATGCGTTCGGCATTTCAGTGTTTTCTTACGCATGCATCAAACAGCGCGTCAAGTTGGTGCAATGCATGATCCAGGAAAGAGAGATTGCCTGGCTGGATCAAGACTGCAATGGCAACACAGCTCTACATCATGCAGCAGCGACTGGTAATTGCCTGATTACACAGGCGATTATTGAGCAAATGAGAAGATATGGCTTAGACATTGACAAGAGAAACAATCGCGGTGAAACACCACTGATTTTAGCAGAAAGACATGGACAATTTTGGTGCGCTGAGCTTCTTCAGGTCAGCGGCAAAGCTAGCACTAAAGCACGTGATGACGTCATGTTTAAGAATGCTGAGCAATGGAGATACACCCGCACAGAACTGACGCCATTAAAGCTTTCATCTTCCTTTCGGTTAGAAAAATCAACATAATTTTTGCTTAATTTGTTATTAAATACCACATCATTTTTCACCCTCCTGGTACTGCATTTCACCCTCCTAATCCTCCTCACTGACTGTCATACACATTTTTTTATGGCGCTATTCAGGAGACTTGCAGTGAGTTTATAGGAGGGAATTGTCAGTACAACTTTGAAGATCCTTAGAGGGAAAGAACTATTCAAGGAAGAAAGAGAAAAGAGAGGATTGCATTTGTTCTTCCCTTTGATTTCCCTCCTGTATCTGGAGGAGGACGTCAAAAGACATTTTTAGACCTTTTCGTAGACTAAAACTAGTTTTCAGGAAATGAGGCAAGGAATATATATTCAGGTTAGCCTACGTAGCTGGCGGAATTATTCGTCCTCGTGAGTGAGATTTTGGCAGAGAAGCTGCCATTCACAGCGAGAAGAAAACGCCGAAGGGGCGAACGAGATCCCCATTCTACGCGGAGACTGGCAACTTCTCTATATCACCACCTCTGCCTCGATACGCGCTGACGTGACGAATCCGCCAGCTACGCAGGCTAGTATATAGGTTTAAAAACGTTAATTTAAGGGCCACCATGGTTGTTTTCATTTTGTTCTTGCTTTTAAGCGCAAAGTTTCCGAAGGTGTCCAAACAGCTCTTAGTAAACAATAACACCAAGAGACCAAATTCACCAAATCAGAAAACGCACCTCTTTGGAGAAGGGAAAAAGCAAATTGCTAACGCGGGTAAGTCGAATCGACATAGCTCATCATTAGGGAACTTACGCAAAGACGTTTTTGAGCCACGCACTTTAACCGGAAGCGAACTTTCTTCATTCTTAGGCAGTTCCTTGGGCGGTGGTTTTTGCCCAAAGTTTGACGCAAATCGTCTGTATAAGAGTATGGACAGAGAGAAAATCAAATTTGGTAGCGTTAGGGCGTATTACAAGAGGAGAACGCATCACTTCCGGTTGACGGGCGGCGCTCAAAACGTCTTTGCTTAACTATCACAAACAGTGTTAAAAAAGGGTTTTCAAACATTGTTTTTTAGTTCCCGGCTAGTATTTACTACTGAAAACAATGCATGATCTACGCAATACTGTGCCCCTCTCGAGGAGAAGGGTTAGGAGAGAGGCCACGCCCTGCTCTCGCTAATGTGGACCTGGGTTCAAGTCCCGGCGTCGACGGGTAGGTAGCATAAGCAAAGACATTTTTGAGCGAAGGATGGCAACTGGAAGTGACTCCTCTTCCCTTTTATTAAGCCTTGACGCTAACAAATTTGTATTACTGAGTGTCTTTACTTTTGTAGAGAGGATTTGCCCGAAAATTTGGGCAGAACCACCGCCTAAGGGTGAAAAAATTTCCACCTTCGGTTACCGTCCGTCGTTGAAACGCTCGCTATCCGTTGGTTATGGCCTTTGCTTCGTGAAGGTTTTCCCTCTTCTCAAGAAACAACATTTCCAAATTCCAATTTGATCAGGAGGGTGGGACGAGTATTGCTACCTCTTAAAGACTATTACAATTATTACAATTATTATTTCTTTTGACCGTTCACAGAAAAATCGGTGAAACGAGAAGCTATACCAAAACTGCTAAAGCTACTCAAGGAACAACAGAATGACACCTTCCGAGCAGCAGCTAAACCTCCGTTTAACAGCAACGAAAATTTCGACGAACTTCGGGACTCGTCGGAAGATGAAAATAGCCGAGTAAAAGGCGAACAAGTGACAAGAATGAAACGAAGAGCTTTCTCGTTCGCTGGCTTACCTGTATTAGCTTCCAACACGATAAAAAAACAGGGTGAGGGTGTTTATAGCAACATGACTTTTAAGCAAGGTAGTGACGCAAACAAAGTTCACAAGTCGTTGAGGAGAAGATCATAATTATACGGTTGATTTAAGCAGTGTGATCGAAAACATGTTACCAGCAGGTCGCACGAGGATGACTAATACGATACAAACAGTGTGTGAAGAAAGCCAAGATGGTCTTGACATAAGTGACGCGGGAAGCAAATACCGCAATGGCCCGTGCTAAGCGGCCGTGTTTTTCGAGGAGAGTTTAAAAAACCCAAGGAATCACTTTCAAAGTTTATCTCTGACCACGACCGTCCAAAACGCTTATAACTGCCCGATGAGACTTGACTTGAATGTACCACTTTTAACATATGGAAAGTTTTCATATGACGTCACGTCCGCCATATTGGTGTGCCAAAACAATGAAACGGCGGCCATGTTGGTATCCCAACCCCCGTTCCAAACTAGTTCTGTGGAAGTTGAACCTGTTTCTTTTGTTCTAATAAATTGTCATAGCTGTTGGCCACGTGAACGAAAAGGCTTAATAACACTCTACTCTTAGTAAGCCTAAAACCTACACAGTATTGGCCATCCAAGGTTGCAAATTAAGGAAACTGGACCAAAATTCGTACTCCAAAATAGCCTGCTCCAGGCGCTCGGATAGTGGAGTGCGGCGCTGTCCCCAAGATCTGAACGCCTGGAACACGCTAACTCCAAAGCAGTTCAATAGTTTTGTTTGACACAACACCAACGAATCCTGCACCTTAAATTGACCAATGGAACTGAACATGCTTAGAACTTATATCAGGAGGCAGCCCCCTCCAGGGAGGGGAGGGGACTGACGTCGTCAAAGGAAGGAATAACGTACTCACCTTTTACCAAGCCTTGTTCCCCAGCAGGCATGACCACGACCTTGTCACCGTTTTGAAGTTTTCCAGCCTCTAATTTTCCGGTAACGTTGATGCCAGCGCCCATACCTAAAAACATGCAAACAAACGCTTTATGAGCTAAGTGTGCGAAGGGAGTGTGCCCGAGATCCGAGATGTCAAGTCTTACCCACTTGATTTCCTTGCAGCCTGCTAAAACAGCCATCTCTGGTTACCATTCGTTTCGATACAAAGTCGTTTCGATACGAGTTTATTCAGTCGAGGTGTAAATAGTTCCACGTACTTGGCTTAAAGAACGAAGAATATTCACCCAAAATGTTTTTCTTGTTTACGCGCAAACTATACTTGAATACTGTGAACGAAATTTTTGTGCAGTTTCACAGCTTGAGTTCGTATCGAAACGACCGGTTTCTGAAAAAAAAGATCCGAGCCCGAGCGATAGGAGCAACCCGAATGAAAGGAGTACTCAGCCTGGGGCAGAGGGATGCATTTCAACCTCGTTCCCCGGGGTTCCTACCGGTCCCTACGGAGCGAGAGAGAGCTGTCTCTCTCTCTCTCGCTCCGTAGGGACGGGTAGGAGAGAGCCCTAGGAACGAGGTTGGATGCATTCTTTTCAACTATGCGGAAGTCAGGTCCACACTTAATTTCGCATTAGTTCACTTTCTTACCTTTATAAACATCTGACACCCAGAACCTAAACGGTTTCTCTAATTCCCTTTTTGGAGGTTTAAAATTATCTGCAATGGAAAAAGGAATATACAAGGCGTATAGTCTACCGGTTTCCATACAACTATGTAGGTAAAGTCTAAACTATATAATAAATAAAACCATTTGATTATTTCAACCTCTCCGGCTTACGCTTTTAAACGACCACATTCCAATACTCCTTAAAAAGGTCCCAGTTGCGAAGGAAAGAGGAGAAAACGGGTCTAAATGGTTAAGAGTGATCTCAAACAGGTAACAGGAACAGGAACAGGTAAGTCGCCTGAGAATTTCCCCTTGCTATTCACTCGGAGTTCGAACGTCTGTGCAGTTATCATTATCGGATAGAATGTCTCCCGTTTATCGCGAGGTAGCCGTTTTGGAGAAGTATAATGAATCATCAGTGGGGCAAGAAACAAGTCGATCTCAAAGCAGGAATCATCAACGATTCCATTGAGACCGTTCATGAAAGCAAAAACGTGCAACCAAACTTTATCCGAGTTCCAAAACTGCCGTGAAACTTATTTACTAAGTTTTTGAAACCAGCTGCAAAATTTCTTCATTTCTCACCTATTCGATCCAATAAAGTAGGCCCGTTGTACCAATTTCGGAGCAGGGTCTCATTACAACACTTTGTAAGGTTCTCACCAGTAAGACCACTACATGGTACATAAACAACATCAGAATCCTAGAACAAAAGGAGTCAAAGCAGTAAATATACTTTCTTAAAACAGCGCTCTGGCATCTGCCTCGTACCCAGACGTCTCTACATTTTTCTCCTTCCCAGGGTCCCTTGCGCTTCGTCACTAGTCACTCGAGTGTCACTTGCGTTTCGCGCTTGCCTGAGGAGGAGGCAACATACCCGACAATCGTCCCTAAAGAAATTGAAAAAAAAGCTAATGCAAGAAATTTTGGAGGGAAACAAAGAATATTATGGTAGTTTTGAAAAGGGCCCAATGAATGACAAAAATTTAGTTTTATCAACTAAGTTCATAAACGGTAAATCGAACATCGCAGAGAGATTCAAATCAGGTATTTTGAGCTTTTACTTCTAAGAAATATGCCTTTAATTCTGTCACGGTAATACTTGCGAACATGGCAGATAGCAAACCTTAAATCCTGCCTGTTTTAAAAAGTGCTTGAGCTTTCCAACGACATGATTATATCGAGCTTCTGACCAGCCAACCTGAAACAAACACGGCAAACTTAGAGTCACCGGTCGTTTCGATACAAGTTTATTCCGTCGAGGTGTAAATAGTTTCGCGTTCTTAGCTTAAAGAACGAAGAATATTCACCCAAAATGTTTTTTTCTGTTCACGCCCAGACTATACTTGGAACGAACAGAATTTTTGGGCAGTTAAACAGCTTGAGTTCGTATCGAAACGACCGGTTTCCACACTCATTCTTTTAGGACACTCAGCATGAATGTGGTTTTCATGTTGCAAAAAAAAATGACCACTCAGAAATCGTATCTTCCACAACGCATTTTCAGTGAATTTCTTTAAGAGTTAATAATCATTTGGGAACTTGAAGATAAAAAAAAGAGAAAAGAGCGTTTCATCCCATATCTAATCATCTTTGCGTCGGTTGGGCAATAAATAAGAAAGAAAAAGCTCTTCGGTGACTCAATAAATAAAACATTCCTTCTCGTGTTTGCGGATGTGAAACACGGGACACCGTGTTTCATCACATATCAAATATACAGAAGAGAGATGAAAATACAATGCGTAACGGGGAAATTTTGATGAACATTGAGGTCTTTCGATTTTGAGTAGAAAGAAGAAGAAAGGATGTAGAACATGAGAGTTTCAATCACATATCCAAACAAGTCAAGGTTTAGGACCTTCTTCTTCTTCTTCCTTCTATGAACTATTAATGAGATTGAGAAATGTCAAATCAATAATTTTAACAGCGTTTTGAAGAAAAAGAGAGAAAACCCTCAATACATAGTCTACCGTGTAGACGTTCTTGGGGGTTCGTTACGCGTTCCTACCCTCCTCGTTTACGTGACGAGCCAAAAGAACATCTGCGCAGGAGACTACTCAATACATTGCCACTTACTGTCTGACTGAAAGCCTGAGCCGTAATACGAATCAAGAAAACGTAAAAATAAGATATAAGAATCACTCACATTGTCAAGTTTATTGACAGCCACAATTAACTGTGTCACACCCAGCGACCTGACAAGTAGCGCATGCTCTCTCGTCTGCCCTCCAGCTTCAAATCCGGACTCAAATTCTCCAGTGCTGGATCCGACCACTAAGATTGCTACATCAGCCTAAGAAGAAATTTCAATCAAATATAATGTCACTCATGTGCGGTCCATATAATTGAGGAGGACATTGACGCCTAGTGCTAGTTCGGTAGGTGTCGGGGTCATAATTAGGAGCTTTTAGGGCCTCCTCGTGCTTATAGCGCAACAAAAAAAACGATCTCGAAATGTAACAAAAAATTTTGTGACCTGGCTCTTTTAATGCACCGTTAACAATATTACGTTCAACATACCTGAGAAGCTCCAGTGATCATGTTGGGGATAAAATCTTTATGTCCTGGTGCATCCATTAGTGTGATGAGCTTTGTTTCAGTCTCAAATCTTGTTAAACCAACATCCATAGTAATACCACTGTTGTGAATAAGTTATGCTTCAGTAAAAAGACCGCAAAGTCGTTGTATCGCATTGCATTAAGCGACACATTAGAAAAGAAAAGGAGTAACCCTTACTGTAAATAAATTGTCAGACTTCCGAGCAGATGGCAAAGAACGATTCCATGTACAAAATGAGAAGACTGAACGGCAAATGATTACGTCTTCTTATTTCCAAAGGGTTAATCACCGAAACATCTAATGCCTAACCTGAGATCAGCCCCAATTTAAACAGCTTCCATTACATTCTCTTATACGGTATCGCGCTACGCCTATCCCGCCAGAATTTCAATTACAAAGCGAAACGAAAGTAGAGCCTGCTCTCAGGTTATCAAATCCCCGAGGTCGCTTGTAGAGAAGTGTGTGCACTGTTCGCCTTTGTTGGCAGTCTGATTTTCCCTTTTTCCCTCTCACTCGAAAGCCTGTCAAGTTGAATAATTTTGTTCGAACTTTTAAGTCTCTGAATAAAATCGTGTGGTGAGACTGTCCACCTCGTCAGCAGTACTTACACATCCTATCATTTACCGAGTACGTATTTCTAACTTTTGAGTCTGTGGATAAAGTCAAGTCCATTCAACTGGAAACTTTTCTGCGGGACTTTCACATGATAACATTTGTTTCTCAGGGTCGTACACCATGAATTTGTTTCACTTTTTCGTCAATTTCCTTCAATGGTGCTCTTGGAACTGAAAACGAACTGAAAGGAGTACCTACCGTTCTCGCTCTTCACCAGTTTCATCCAGCACCCAAGCATAAGCAAAGGAAGCCTTACCAGCCTTTTTAGATTCCGTCTCATATGTAAACGGGTCAAGGAAAAAACACAAACAAGCAACGAGCTTTTAACAAAGGCTAACCAATTTTGATATATACTGCTCAAGTTTTGCAGCTCTGCGTGAAAAGTTGTTTACCTCCGCTGCACAATTACTTGGAAATAGATGGCATTGCGCCTCAGATAAGAAAAAAATATATTGGCTGTTAAATGGTGTTTCTACTGCTGATTTTCAAATGAACGTTAGGCTGTTTCAGCTTGTCCAGTCGTTTATTTTGTTATCACATCGCTTCTGTTAGTTGCTGTGTGTGCTTTTTTTAAATATTTGTTTGGTTTGTTTTGTTTTCTTTTTATTCTTTCGCTTTTTTGTGTGTGTATGTTCGATCTTGATGTGCATTTGTATTTTTAAAATATTGAATGTAAACAGCATAAGCTCTCTGGATGAGCCCTTTAGGATCTTAGAGCAGATATTGCAATAAATATTGTTTATATAAAAAAAAAATTAATATAACACAGAAGCGAACATCATTTTTTTGTTCTAAGGATATTTATGCATAGCTTTCTTGGAGACGTCTCCAAGTCGATAAAGAAGATGGCCCATGAGGGTGCTTTTGCCAGCATCAACATGACCTAAAACAAAATAAGAGAACTTTCGCATCTTGATTTAACAATTCAAAATTGATTTAAAGTTCTGTATAACCATCTCTGATAGCAAAAAGAAAATTCTGGTTTTAGGTTTTATTGATCAAATAGTTCATAAGCATTTCCAAACTCACCAATGACAACTAAGTTGAGAAGAGTTTTTCCTTTCCGTCGTTTGTGATATTCCTTATGTGCTTCAGCGAGCAACTGATGAAAAAATAATACACATTTTAAGTCACAAAAAACACACAGGTAAAGAAATAACGACAAGCAAAAATGTTTCAGAAACCTGGTCCTTTTCCATTTGTTTTTTGTTTGCTTGTCTCTGATCTGTTTCTGTCTCATTTTCAGGAGAACTGCATGTAAGGTAAAAGAAAACAAAATTTATTCTGCACTTAACCACATTAGATACTCCAGTCTTCTATTCTTTTACTTACAATGCTCAGGTCTGATTTTGGAGAACATTCTAGATGACCAATCTTTTAGCACCTTAGTGTGTCTAGATGTGGTTATTGACTGTAAAGTATTGTTCCTTAGACACAATAAAATGCATCATTCATAGACTTTACTGATAAGTTTTGGCCAAGTAAGAAAAGATTATTATTTGGCCAAAACTTCTCAGTACCAGTGTCATGAGTCCCGTTAGCACGTGCAAAATTGGAAGGAGTCTTTACTTTAAAATGAGGCCAGGCTAGCAACTAACATAAGAACAAAAAAAAATGTGATAAATGTGCCATCATTAAATTGCTTGAAAAAGATATGTGAAAGGTATAGCCTGAGAAAACAGGCAATATTTTGAGACGCCACCACTGGTTTCCCCACTAAATGATGTCTGAGAAGCGAGTGCAGAAATTCCATTCGGATGACGTGACACTACCAAAATCTGGATAGTGCTTCTGATTGGTTGAAGCAAATTTTCAATCAATCAGTATCACTACCCAGAACTGAGTAGTGATGTGTCATCAGTATGGAATTTCTGCACTTGTTTCTCAGACATCATTTCACGGAGAAACCAGTGGTGGCGTCGCAAAATGCGGGCTTTTTTCTCAGGCTATGAAAGGTACATGAATTAAACAGAGACACCCAGTTAAAAGGAAGGCTTCTGTGGTTCTTAACCCTTGGAGCCCCAGTATCCACTTACAAATTCTCCAGATAAATCCCCACACATTTTCTTGCAATAAAGAATTAGTTAATTAGTTAAAAAAATTTAATACAACACCAAAGCGTCTCCCCTTTAGTAATCATTTTGTCAACTCTCATAACCTTTCCCTTGATTACGTATTGATATCAAAAGGAGAAAATTGATGTTGGTCACTCTTGGGAATAAAAGCCTTAAGTGCTCTAATGTCAGGGTGTGACAGTACATTGTGAATAAAATAAGAATTCATATACTGTAAACTGCTGCTTATGAGTCCTGGGTTTAATATCTTTGTAAAGAGTTTTTGGAGGGCTTTTAAATGGAGGGGCTTATATCCAAGGGGGTTTATAACTTGGATAGACAAAGTACTATGAAACAAGCTATAGCAGTGCTGACAAAAGTACAGTCGAACCTCTGCTAACGACCACCTCTCTACAACAGCCCCTACTTTTTATTGCGGCAGACAAAAAATCCATACATTGACTCTTATTTGAAACCACTCTACAACGGCCATTTCTTTACGGCCACTTTCTTCTATCCCCAAGGTGGCCATTGTGGAGAGGATCAACTGTATGTTTTGCATTTACTGGTTTTTAATTAAGCTTCAAAACATCAAAATAAATCGAACTCAGCAGGGGGCTTATCATTGGAGCTAGATGGGGGATTATAATTGGATGTATTTTTTTGTTTACAGGTAGATGGTCAATAACTGAGGGGGGAGGGCTTATAGCTGAGGGAGGGAGGGCTTATACTAGTGAGGGAGGGAGGGCTTTTAAATGAGGGGGGAGGGCTTACAACTGATAGGGAAGGGCTTACAAGTGGCAGTTTATGATATTTAATATCTCTACCTTTCCCTAGATTTCTTGTTGTTTACTGGGGGAGTTGAGAATCCTATCACAGGCTTGTCTTGCACAGAGGTGACCACTGGAGCAGCTTCTGCCTTCTTAGCATCCAAAGAGACATGATTCTGCACTGGATGTAGTAGTTTTACCTCCTTTCTTCCAGCCCTGAAGGTGTCTGGTTTTTGAAGTCATGACAATATTACTTAGGCTACACTCACATTGTAACAAACAAATTTTCGACTCATCAAAAATTTGTGCATTTAGGTATTATGTTCACATGGGACCACGCTAACCGTACAAAAATTTGTATGCCTAGCCGTTCAAACATCTAAGCACTAAAATCAAGGCCAAATTTTTGGATGGTAAGGTTGAAAATTTGACAAGTGCGGTGTGAACACCAAACCATCTATATGTTCATGTGGCAATTTACACAGGTGCGGTGTGAATACCATAACCACCTTAATTTTTGTTTGGCAAAGGCGCGGTTGCATGTTGATGTGAGATAACTCAGCTGCGGGATGTCTTTTTGGCTTTGCTAAAATAGTGCTCTTTGCATGGGCAGATCGCAAAACCTCTGACAACAGTTAAAAATTCAACCTGAACATCAGTTCTTAGAATGGAGAAAAAACATTGAACGGTTCCTTGTGAAAGAAGTTTCCAGTAATAGTTTACAGCCGGTAGAAAATTCCTCCAGTGCCATGTGAATGTAACCGTAAAATGGGCTGGACACATAAAGTAATTGGAATTTTTTCGCCAATAACCTTGCACATCTCTTTAACCTTCAAAACCATGCTTTTCTTAATAAAGAAAATAAAAGGGACAACAAGGGAAAAAATTACTTGTGTTAAAAGTTTTATTTAAAATAAAGCATGTATGACCTAAATATTGTTTTGATACAGCTGAGTGTGGCACTCTTAAAAGCATGATATTATAATAAAAAAAATGTACAAAAGGAATAACTAGCAAAAATTGCTGTATATACACAAAAATTCATTTACATCATAAGTGGCTATCTCTAAAACAATGAGCTAATAATTAAGAAAGCTTAAGAAATAACTGTAATAATTCAATTTACAGGTCTAGAAGTAAAATTTATAAGTACTTCAATGTAGTACTTTGACATCACGAGACAAACAAATTACCCTGTCCACCACTAGCTGCTCAATCCAATAGTTAAAATAAAAAAAAATCAATATTATCAAAGCTACATTTTCCTCTATTCCATCTGTTCGTAAGTTCTACTTCTTTCTTGAAAAAGCCCTCTTTTGCCTTTCATTCACAATATCATCGGGTGAAGGAGTAGAAAAATTAAAAGCAGCTAGGCGTAAACTTTCCAGACTTTGCAATTCCTTGATGACTCTCTGTACGACAGCTTTTTTGTAGGCCGGTGAGGAATAAGACAGTGTTAAAGCAAACAGAGTTGGCTTTGCAGTCAAAGCTGTTGCATCATTCCGTTTACCAGTGACCTTTCTTTTCTGCTCCCTAGCAGAAATGCCTTTCTCCACAATTACATGCTTTGACTTGATTTTTCCTTGATCCAATGACGAGTCAGCCAAGGGGGATATCAATCGTGTGGAAGAAATAATATTGGGTGTCTGTTCAGCTTTGAGATTCTGGTTACAGTCTTTTTTTACCTTGCCAGTTCTGTTTTTACCAGGGAGTTTCACTTTGTCCAATTTTTCAGTCAAGCATTTTATGTCAGTGGTGACATTATCATGAGTATTTTTATCTAAATCCGACATGGGGTTTTCAGTTCGAGGACTTGTAGATTGAGATGACATAGACGGAAGATGCCTGGAGAGTGACAAATTGCTGAGTGATGTTGAAACAAGAGAATCATGATGGTTTGCCAGTTTAGATCCACTCTGTGATGTTGGTGCAGTTTGTGAAAAGGAGCTTAGTGAGGCAGCCAGAAGGGTTGTTGATGGGGTCTGACTAGATCCAAGAGAGAGGCTGCTGAGTGGAACTGAAAGAAGAGAGTTGCCTGATTTTGTAACTGGATTTCCTGCCAGTGACAATACCTGAGGGCCTGAAATTTGTGTAAGGCTGGTAAAAGGCAATGAAGAACTGTTCTGAGGATCAGCCCTTGAGGTTGTCTCTTGCTGAGCAGTAAGGCTACTGAGTGGCACTGAAAGCAAGGAGCTTTGGGGTGAGGCTCTTGACAAGCCTAGAGGTTGGGATGTTGATGCCTGGGTTGATAATGACCCTCCTGGCTGTGACAAGCTACTAAGAGGAGCTGACAGCAGAGAGTTTTGTGATGAGGTTTGCAACAGGTCCAGCGGCTGTGATGTTGTTGTCTGACCAGACAATGAACCTCCTGGCTGTGAAAAGCTGCTGAGAGGAGCTGAGAGCAGGGAGTATTGTGATGGGGTTAGTACCCGATCCTGTGCCTGACTGGGTGGTGTCCTTTCTGACTTTGTCAAGCTGCTAAGAGAAGCTGAGAGCACGGGGTTTTGAGACAAGGCTTTTGACTGACTTTGAGGCTGCAATTTTGATGCCAAGCTTGATAACACCCCTTCTGCTTGTGATGAGGTGCTATGAGGAGCTGACAGCAGAGGGCTTTGTGATGAAGATCGCAAACAACCCAGGGGTTGTGTTGTTGCTACTTGGCCAGTTAATGTACCTCCTGATTGTGACAAGCTGCTAAGAGTAGCTGAGAGTAGAGGGTTTTGAGCTGAAGATTGTAAGAGGTCCAGTGACTGTGTTGCTGATGTTTGACTGGATAATGCTCCTTTTGAATGCGACAAGCTGTTAAGAGGAACTGGCAGAAGAGAGGTTTTTGTAGACAGCTGTGATAGATTCGGGGGCTGTGTTGCAGCCACCTGACCAGATAATGCCCCTCCTGATTGTGACAAGCTGCTAAGAGGAGCAGTCATGAGAGATTTTTGTGATGAGGCTTTTATCTGATCAAGGGGCAGAGAAGTTACTGTTTGACAAGATAGTATTCCTACAGGCTGAGACAAACTTTCATCTCTTGCTAGAGCACTTAGAGATAATTCACTGGACACATTAACATATGACTCCGTAACAGCAGATTTAGAGAGTTGTGAATCACTCATAAACACTGCTGCCTTTCTTTCTGTGATGCCAACAGTATGATTACTACAAGATTCTTCTGTATTGTATGTTTTATGCTTGTTCCTTTTAACATGAATATCTTTTATTAGTGTGTCAGTTTTACAAGAGACAGAGCCTTACCTTGTGAGAGCCATTCACCAAAATTTGCACCAGAGAACATGGCAATAGAAAGAGAGAAAAGGCAACAAATTAGCTTTAAATTTACAAGTGTAAATCATGTCAAATCAGATAATTCTTGAACCACGCTCTCCTCAATTACAAATCTATAATTTTTTCATTGAAGCTCAACATGAACCACCCAGGCTTGTACAGGATTCAAACCCTTGACCTCTGCGATACCGGTGCAGTGCTCTACCAAGTCAACTGTGTTTATAACAAACCAACCCAATGATCTGCTCCCAGTTTACTTGTCGGCTCAATTGGTAGAATGCTGCACTGGCATCGCAGAGATCAAGGGTTCAAATCCACTACAACACTGAATTTTTTCAGGCTTTTTTTTAGCAACTGCAAAAATTGCATCTATAACTGCGATGATCTTCTTTCATTTCACTCTTCACCCTGCACTTACCATAAAAATTATATGATTATCATTTTAACTATATTATTTTTTTGCATTCAACATTGTTGATCCTGGCAAGTATGCAAGATGCATATCATATACAAACCTATACACAAGAGTAAAATACAATACACTGTTCATTTTTCTTTGCTGTTGTAAAAATGGAGCACTAAACATTGAAAATGATGTATGTTATTATTCTGTTTTAGTCCGAGCACTCAGATAGCTTATGGTATATTCCACTTATTATGAAATTAACAGATACTCCAGATGAAACATGTAAATTTAAAACTCAGTTCACAACTCACCTTCACTCTCATCTGGATCCAAATTTGCCTTAAGGTCTTGTTTTCCCCCTGAATTGTAACAAAAATAGAACAAGAAACAACTTAACCTGAGATCAGGCTATATTTTTCGTTTTATAGGTAAATGAACTTCTGGTGGGAAAGGCGGAACGAAAAGAGATTTTAGAGTGATCACGTATGAGAGAATGTATGAAAGCTCCTAAAATTGGGCCTGATCTCAGGTTAGACACAACTCTTAATTTGTAAAATTAAAAACAAAAACAAAAAACATGAAACAGCAAAAATAATACAGTTGAACCTGGACCAACAGGCACCACCACACAATCACTCCCTCAACACAAAGGCAACAAAATTCGACCCATACATTAGCACTGTTATTGAAATTTCCACACAATGGTCACTTCTACACAGTGGCAATGAGTAGCACCTTATTGTCCCTTAAAACAGGCCATGTCACCTTCAAACAAAAAATGAACAGGTACTGATAGGTCCTGGGGGAATCCGTTTACTTTGTTTTATCAATGTGTTTGTTACCTTGACTAAGAATTTGATCCAGAGCTCTCTCTAGATCAAAGTTACTTTGTAAAACTGCTGTAACTGCCGTAGGTTCATGTAATGTCTCTCCAAGAATTGAATGAAGCTGATCCATACAAGATGATAACTTTGCTGAAACAAGGAGAAATCCAATAATGAAATGAATATTTTTAAGACATACTGTAACTACACTGAACTTACAAATATGCAAAAGTAAACTGGCTACAGGCAGACAGCTCTCTACCTGTTGGACTAACATTTCAGTGTTAACTACAGTTATACAGTCACCTTTCTCCTAATGCAGGGCTCTCACTAAGATTTCAAATTGCTGGGTAAATATGAAATGTAGGCAGGGGATCATACAGCTAGGGATTTAATTTGGTTCTCTTTTTCTTCTATTTTCTCATAAAAGTAGATGGAGATTATGGTTATAGAAGCCAAGGGAAATCCCCGGCCTCTGATCCTTAGTGACAGTCCTCCAATGGATACCTCTACATCACATACTACTTAATACAGAAAGTTCAAAATGGTCTCTGCCATTCTGTGGTCATATTTTTTCACTTTATGAAGTAGTCAGCTCCAACTGTAGGACTGATATTTTGGCATTACGAGCAGTTACAAAGTTCACTTTTCCTAATGGATAGACTCCTTAAGGTATACCTCGTGATACTGACAGCTTGAGACAGGCTTGCCATTCGGCAGTCATATTCTGACTTGCGAAAAAGTGGACGGTTCTCCAACACAAAACACTGATTATCCAAACTGATGTGTCAGCCTTACAAAGAGTTGCCTGTGAACATGTGAACATAAAAGTGAAGTTATTATACCTTCACTTGTGGGATCTAGCTGGGGTCTCTTGTAGTCCTGGGAACTAGCAAGTGTCTCCTCCTCAGACTCCTCCTCATCCTCTTCGTCTACTCGGCCAAACCTGTCAGCCATGTATGATGAGAGGTTTGGGTCCCGACTGTTACTGCGTCTGAACATGAACTGCTCAGCTGCAGGAAGCAATGTGAAAAGAAGGTGAAATCCTTATACTTTACAGGGATAAAGAGTCCAAGAGTCAAACCTCAATATAAAGATTCCATATTTCAATAAAACGAAAAAGAAACAGCAAAAGCAATTTCACAGACATGTCATTTGAACGGCAGCACTAAAACACGGAATCCAGAATCCGGAATCCAGAAATGGAAACAGAAATGGAAACAGAAACGGAAACAGAAACGGAATCACGGAAACGGAATACGGAATCAGTGAAAGAAGGTTCCAAGTGATCGATTTGAAAAAAAATATATGAGCAATGACAATATTAAAATAAATAAACAGATTAAAAAAAGACACAAATGAATAAATTAGTTGAGTAGAGGAGAGGAGACTGCTGTATCACTAGAGGAGTCGATTCCGGTGAAAAGACGCTTGATACCACTATTAGCAATGAATGCAAATTCTCATGGGACAGCAAAGCAAGGAGAAAAAAAATTACTCGTAAAATTACTTTCATCGGCCTTGCAGTGCAGTAACCCACACTACGGCAAACCTTACCAAGACACAATAACAAGAATATATTTAAGGGAACTGCCAAGAAAACTAAGACAAATTTTCTTTGGATTGTACTAAATTGTGTAATGTGAAATTCTCTAATTTTCTATCATTGATATTTGATTCCGTATTCTGTTTCCGTTTCTGTTTCCGCTTGCGTGATTCCGTTTCCGTTTCCGGATTCCGGATTCTGGATTCCGTGTTTTAGTGCTGCCCTCATTTTAATGGTCACACCACATCTGTCTGAGCAGAGCTTTTCTTTGTTTAAAGCATTGATAGGGCTGCAAATAAATTACTGTTGTTTTTAGCAAGGGTATATAAGGTGATCAATGCAATTTTTTTTCATAACCTTGCCAAGAATGTTTCTTCCTCTGTTGTGCAAGCCTCAAATCATGGAAGACTTAAAGAATCTGCTCAATGCTGAATGTTTCTACCAAGTTTAGATGACTAAAGCTGTATGTGGAGGGTCCTTGTTTATAGCCAAATAACTTTGTATACAGTACAAAAATTTTCAACTGCATGAAAAAAGGGATCCCTGTGGATAATACACACTTAAAATTTTGAAGCAAGTTTTCACAAAAAAATTGTACATTGTATAGATTGAGTAAATATGGTAATGATAACATAATTTTCTGATAAAGTCTGATGAGAAGCAAGACCTTTGAGTATCTCACTGAAGGGCAAGTTAAGAAAGGTCTTTCAGTGGAGGCGATATAATGGTTTTTGACTGGTTATACACATGGAGAGATTACACATATGCAAATTATTTCATTAAAAAATAATATGAAAGGCAAGTGCATTCTTAAGACAGGTGATAATAAAAGAAAATTCAAACATCACATATAACACCAGACTCCTTACCAGTTGTTGGTGACACAGCCAAATCATAATCCTCAACTGAATGTCCATACACGTCATCAGACAAGTCTGGAATAACACAACATATAACATTGTCGTATCTCTCACATCACACAAGTTACCAAATATCGTTGAATTTCTATTAAAGGCACCCTCTCTACATCAGTCACTTTTTTGTTCCAGACAATAGTCACTCTTGTATCATCAACCATACAATGACCACTTCTCCACAATGGCCATTTAAAAGTAATAAATATAAAATATCCATATCTTTTTATTTGCAACCTTTTTCTAATTCAAAGTATGAGAGTTTCGTCTTTTCATCACCAGGATTTACAAAACCGTCACAGCACTTTCCCAAGATTTCTGGCAATTTTCTAAGATTTCTGAACATAACCAAAACTGTGCAAAGATGTACTGATAACCTATAAGCACTTCCAAAGCTTTTAAAAAGGGGACAATTTTAGCTACACAAAGTCAACATTAAGCACATTTTTGGGTAACTTGATTGAATTTTTGTTATTAATCATATGTTATAGAACAATTTGTCCAAATTTGTGAGTAAGGCATGAGAAATTGTCCTTGATGCATGAGAAGTCTTTATGCTGCAGGCATGACACTTATGCATCATGTATGAGAGTTGACAGGTCTAAAAACTGATGCATCCACAGTACCTTACTCACTTTGCTTTGTTAACATTGTTGTTCTGGCTCCAGTCGTTCAAAAGGTGGATAGTGCTATCCACAAGACAAATCACAGGGCGCCCACACAATGTGTGTGTGTGAGCGATTGTTATTCTATAGTAAATGTACTGGATTTACCGTTTGCTTCACCTATAACGATATATCGCTAAGTATCTATAATCAATATTAAATAAATGTTGAATTACCTTACCTGTGGTCCCAGGGGGGGTACTCAGGATTTCAAATGACGGGGATGATCAAAGGATTTTTTTGGGTTTGAAATTTTCGATTCCAGGATTTTTTTGGGTACGAAAATTTGGCAAGTATCTTTTTGGGTAGCTTGATTTGAGCAGAGATTTTTTGGGGGTATTAACCCATTCGCCCCTGAACCGCCCGTAACCGCCCGTGCGGATCCAGGTCCTTTCTACCCATTGCGACGTCATCAGTTTTAACGGTCAAGGACAACTTTCTTCACTAACTTGTGCAGAGTGAAGAGATCTTTCAAACCATACCAGAATGAGCACAATTCAGTCAAGGACACCGGAGAAACAAGCAAAAAACCACGTGACATTGACCTGAAAATCTCCATGAAAATCTTGTCCCATTACCCACCTACCTTTCCTTTCGCCTAATCCTAAGATCCTAAAAGCTTTCCTAAAAACTCTTCCCACCAAAATCAAGCCTACTAAATGCCCAGCAAGAGAAAAAAAAAATGAGGCAAGAAAAGCAAAAAAAGAAGGGAGGAGAGAAAGCGAAAAGTAAAAGTCAAGACTGCTGTGTCACTTTTAAACCCAAAAACTATGTCAAAATTTTGCTTCCTGCGCATGCCCGAACTTCGCAAGCTGATATTTTGCATCTGGATCGGAAGACCGCGAAGTGTTCGACCTGTAAACCAGTTTGTGGTAAGTTTTAGCTCTTTATAGCACGACAGTGACCAGAAAACCACTCGACTAGCTTCAAAACGCGTTTTTCGGCAAAATCTCTAGGAGCGAATGGGTTAAAAAGAATCGGTTGTGCCCTGGCTGCGTAGTTCTGCGAATAAAGTAAAAACAAACGTGTTTTGCTGTTGTTTAAATTTCCAATGTTTTTCTTTGTGTTATAGCATTACCCCTTTCTGGAACTTTTAAGGGCCACAAAATCGGCATGGGATTTTTTGGGGGTTAATTTTTGGTCCAGGGATTTTTTTGGGTTTTTCTGGAAGCCCTAGGGATTTTTTTGGGTCTTGACTTTTGGCTCCATTCGATCATCCCCGTCACTTGAAATCCCGAGTACCCCCCCTGGGCCTGTGGTATATTTTAGCCCTTTTGCCTCATCAGTGGTTTTTGAGCAATTTTGAAGGAGTTTGAGTTAGCCTACGTGTCTCCATTTTTCCTTTGTCAGGGGGAGGGTGCGGCTACACATAGGATATTTTAAGTTCGCCTTTTACAGTTCCTGAAGCCCTTTCAAAACAAGGACTCCTCCCTTGTCCTTCTATTATTAGGAACAGTAAACGGCGAACTCAAAATCCTTCAAAATCGCTCAAAAAACCCCTTTTATCGCAAAAGGACGACGATATACCACATGAAACGTTATTCAACATTTTATTCAACATTAATTTATATGCATACTTAGCGACATATCGTTATAAGTGAAGCTAATGGTAAATCCAGTAAATTTACTATAAAATAACAATCGGTTACACACACACATTGTGTGGGTGCCCTGTGGACAAATCTCTATCCAGTGGACAGCACAATATTGATTTCCCTTATACTTATCCGCTGGATAGCGCTATCCAGCTTTTGAACAACTGGGGCCTGAACATTTTTTATTTCTATTGATTGTTACTATTTATTAATATTATACAAAACACATTTTTTAAAACAAAAATGTTGTACCCCCTCCAAAGGAAGCTGGCGTCATGTTTAATTATTACAACCCTCCCTCCCCGTCATGGGAAGGTTTGGCTGAATAAAAAGTCATCAATTAATGGGATAACTTTTACAGACTCTGTGTTGTATTACCGTTTGCTAGCTTAAATATCGATCTTACCGTCGTAACTTTGTAAGTATCGTCAATAAGCTAAAAGTAATTCTATTAATCTTAATTGGAAAAGTGAATCGACGACTTCATTTTGCAATTGCAGAAATCATAAAAGCTTATAAACTTGAAGCTAAAAAGTTTTAGTTATTTTATTCATGACACGAGATTATCGACATACCATCTTCGTAGGAATAATTCCTGTAATTTCTATGTCTTGCCATTTACTCGGCGTGCTTTAATTCAGCAAATATGGTCGTTTATGTGGTGAAACATATACCAAACAATGAGAGCACCCGAAGACACCCGCCATTCCGCCATCTTGAGGTGCAAAGAGAAAGAACCTCGATTTGGTGCAGAACTTGATCGAAGATGACTAGGTCCCAGAGTCCTCTCGCTCGGGATACGCGCACAAAATTTCTGTAAAAAGACGGGTGACACGAAATAGCAGGAAAATTCACTTGTACAAAAAACCATCATGCGCCATCATTATCCGATAAAATACTGTATACCAATCCAATCTTTCAATAGAAATAACAAAGTTTTCAATATAAAAGTACACACGGTGATTGACAGGTGCCGCCTTGTTGTGACACAGTGAAACAAATGAGTAACGCACTCTTTTCCCGAAAATGTAATTCTTGATGATGGTGTTTCAATAAATCTCAATGACCCTGATATTACAATGCATTGAATTCAGTCAAGGCTCTTGATTCAGTGCCAAACAGCCCTCCATTTCCGCCTCGCCACGATAGTGCTTTGAACGCGGTCAGGAGCCTGAGCGGTTTGACTTTGCCTATCGTTTCCTTGCGCAAAAAAATCCGTTCTTTCCACATGCTTTCGCAATGCGCTACAGTAACTTCAAGGCATTTCTTTGAGGAATGCAAAAGACGTGAATTTTAAATTTAGGTATGAATATAATAATGAATTAACATTTTCTTCATAATATCAGCTTACTTTACATGCTTTATCAGGCCTTTGATCACTTATATCCGCACGAGTACTCAACGCCTGAAGTACTTCTGCTCTATTTACAGATACCGTCGCGGATAATGTTTATTTATGTGACATTGTCTACGCCGTTTAATAGTTCTAAAAGCATCGGACAAACAGAGTGGGAAATTTCAACTTTCTGACGATGGACAATGGTATTCAGACTCTCTCTGGGAGCGACACAAAGGTCGGTTAGTCATGCTAGACTGCTAAATTCAGAAACCTGTAAATACGATCGTTGATCACACCCGAAGAACTGTCGTGCAGCTCAAAACTATTCAAATGCAAAGTGGCCGATAGTTTTACTCAGCTGGGTTCCAGTAGAACATACATAGCATACATAAACAGATTTTAAGTTCTATTTTAAACGGTTTACGACACTGCTGAAGCCGTCTGGTTTTCAACAGTAACACAGTTTCACCATGGTCTCAACTGAGGTATAATCATTCAACAATGGGGAACTCGAACTAATTAGCTCAGCAACACTAACCCAAAATAGTGTAGTATTTTCAACTAACAAGAACGACTGAAGCCGAAAAGTAGTTCATCAGTATGGTAAATTAAACTAGTCAATAGCCCTGTTTGTTTTTTCATGACTTGCCCTCAGGCTATAAATCTAGTTTATTGTTAAATTCGATGGTAAATCAGAGGAAATAAGCTTTGCGGCTGCTGACTTTCGTCAAAGTCGAGGGAAGCCCGTCAAAGAGCTTCAACATTTTCAGAACACTGCAAAAAAAGGCGAAACGATGTTGAGACAATTCTTAAAGGAGTATAAGCTTTCCTCAATAGCAGTAGTCCAGCTAGCTAACAGCCAAGTCAGGGGAAGGCTCCAGTTGATCGAGAACGTATCCCCTCCTTCCTTCGCTACCCTGCTCTAAACGCCTCGGCTTTCTCTGCGCCTCTAGCTCTACCTTAGGGGCCGACCTTTGGACTTTTGAGGAGCCGGGGGGAGAGTAGTGGTGGGTGATTTGGTTTGGGTAAGAATTTTCTTCTCAAACCTGTGGTATTTTTTTCAATGTGGGATTTTTTTTACACCAGGTATTTCCATGCAAGAATTTTTTTCGAAACCAGTCTGCAGGATATTTTTTTCTGAAATCACCCACACCCCCTCCCTCAAGTCAAATGGAATTTTTCTTGGCACGATTTCAGGATACAAACAGATGTTTTATCTTGCAGATACTCCTCATAAAGTAGATAAAATCCGATCGAGCCCTGGTTTGCGTATTAGGCTTGCATTTCTTGCATGTTTAAGTCAGAAGTTCAACTATTTCGTCTTTGAATAGCCGTGAAAGCCATTTTTAGTTCACTTTTGCAAAAGCAGCTTCGTTTCCAATCAAAAACGTGTATACCATATCAGCCTCGTTTCCAATCAAACATACCATCAAATCGATGGTATACTGCTTGTATCTCCCAAATATGGTAAGCGCTCATAGGAATTAGCCGGCAAAATATTTTGAATGAATACTACAACTGAAGTATTACTGTATATCAGTAGACGAGAAAATAAGCCTTCCGGGATTAGCAGATTTCCAGTTGACAGTCATGTCAGGTCAGTTTGTCCGACAAGGAACTGCGCACTAGGCGGTTTTTCCCGCCACCCCGTCAATCACGTGGTGCGGTTCAAGACAAGCACATAAAATAAAAAAATTGTTTGTATGCGAATCTTTCAAAAAGCTAATGAGTAATGATTTTGATGTCTAAACATTTTCAGAGGTCTGCTAACAGAAGTATTGTAAAAAGGTGCTGAGATCGTGCCTGAAATCAGGGACGATGCGAATTTTTACCTCTTTTGTAGTTTTCCTTTCCAATAACATGGCGGAGGTTTCATGTCATGGGTCATGCATGTGGCGCTTTTTGGCTATTAAACACATGGCTGTGAAAAAATATACGTTAGAAAATCGAGTTCACTGAGACAAATTAACATTATTTGATCTTTTTTACATGAAGATGTTCAAAAGTCGCAGTGTTAAATGCGTTTTATACACCCAGAAGCCAGAAGCTAGAGTTTTACAAATTTTAAAAGAGCTCGCTGTAGATGTGTTTTTGACCTGGTTGTCGGATGATAATTCGTGCCTTTGTAGTACATGATGATTCATATATCTAGAATTTTATTGAACATATTATAAAACTGAGTCAACCCGCACTGGGCGAGCAATATAATGATTGAACAAACTGTATAATATTACATTCCTTTCATTCCAAAACAAAAGGATACCCGCTGTGTAGAAAATTGTTCCATAACCTTTTGACAGTAAGCTCTGTTGTTTGCAGCAATAAGGTCTTTCACGAGCGGCTCGGTTTTAAGTACAGTAAGAGCTCTTTGGAACCTTTTGAAAATAGCCAGTGGTTTAGAGAACTCCCTCGGGTAATTTAAATTCAGCTAAGCATCGCCCTTCGGGCCACCGGAGCGTGTTAGCATTCGGCCGCACTTTGCTTGTCACAGCTTGTCAATAAGTCATCCTTTCGATCGTTGTCGCAAGTTTACCGTATGTCGGAGAAAACCACCTCCATTGGCAAAATAGAGACATCGTAAAGTCCTCATACAGCTTGGGTATGTAGCATTTATTTACTTAAGTTATAATTTCTGTCAATATTAACTTGCATTTTTCTTCTTTTAAGTTGCGTTGGATAAACCGAGATGCCAATGTTGACACGGTTTTATCGCAGTACGAGATATTTTGGAAACGCACCATAAAACACATTAGTCCCATTTGAAATCCATATTGCAACTTACTTTGTACTTGCTTCTGTCAACAGCAATTTTGGACCTGCTCTAGTTTAGCGGCGGAAATTTCGATACATGAGCTCCGAGATCCGCTCAATTATTTTCTATGTGGACAATATTGTGTTCAGAGCGGTTCGAGTCCGTTATCGAAGATATTTAGTATCGACCAACATTTCTTTACTATTTTGCTGAGATCTCGTTTTTGTGAATAAATCACTGCAATGAATGTATGTACAACAAAATGAACTTTAAAACGATTAACAAGTGTTTGACTTAGAATTATTTATAAATCGTTTTTGTTTTAGTGGCGAGTGTTGCAGTTGTATTTTCCAAGTTATTTAAATTCAGAAACGCTCTTAACCTAAGCACTTGCCATTTTTTTCTCTCGACTGTAATTTTATATTTAGTTCATTGTTGCAAAGTGATGTTCAATCTTAGCTTCTTAATGAAAGATGCAAATAACCCGAGTAAACAATGAAATGAACAACTACAGTTAACTGAAAGAAATCGAATCGGCTTCCGACGCCTGTCAACAACTTGAAACTGATCTTATAAACGCTTTATGTCCACTTTTCGCTTAAAATGAAGTCCAATACAGTCACAATCGTTCGTTTGTCGCTGTACTTTGATAACATTGCGTTTGTCACTTTGGATTGTTTCTATTTAATGTTTTTAAAGGTGCAGTAGCTTGAGGGCCCTGCGGTTTTTAAAATATTAAAGCTACCAAGGGAAATCGATTGCTATTTTCTTAACTTTTTCCCCTCCATTTTCCAACCGCCAAAGAAGTTGGCTTGGCATACTGTCAGTGATCATCAATAGGCTTGTTTATTTTTGTCCCATTTTCCATGTAAAGAATACTTTTCACTGAAACTGAAGTAACCGACATATTAGTTAGTTATAGATGAGTTAAAGCAAGAGGAATGTGTTCATTTTCATCAGGGGTATACAAGCAAGTTAGTGCTGAGTGGCTGACTATCAGAGCTATATACCGACCCTTGGAACATTCATAGTCATTCCCTGGTCACGTAAATCCTTTCACCTTCCGTTATCATCGACTTTCATCAGTTCCGTAGTGACCTGTGTAAAAATCTACCAGCATAATCTGATCGAACTGTGCGGTCTCAGTTCGGTGTTTTTTTACATCGATCAGTCGACTGTTATGTTAAAACGGATCAAATTTGGAAAAAGGGCAAAGAAACAAAGTTATCGGGTTAAGTTCGAGTTAATATCTTCAGGACGTCACTTAAGGTGTTAACTTGTGTAGGTGTAAGTTCAAGGACGCAACATCCGCCGCCTCCGCATTTGATCATGATGACGAGATTAGCTATTTTTGAAATGGAGAAAGGGGTCTGTTTTGAAACTGAAGGGCGGTGATCAGTGAAAGACAAAAACGTTGTTTTTATCAACTGGGGTTGAAAAGTTAATAATACTCACCACCTCCCTCCAAAAACCCTGGCGACAAGGCTGCTCCCCACCCCACCCCCCACCCCCCACTTCCATGGACTA